TTTGGGTGTTCTTGTGCATTTCCCATCACTTCATATCAGCTGGATGCTTCACTCTCAGCTCTAGCCCTCTGTGGCTATGTCCTTGTTCATGGGCTCAGGTGTCCCCAGGTCTCACCACACTTTGGACCAACCAGCCCTTCATCTTCTCTCTCGTTATCTCCAGGTCAACGGGAGTCTACAGACCATGGTTGAACTCAGCCTATTTCTTCTTTGCTGCCTTTCCCCCTCTTCCACTCACCAGTAGATGCTCATGTGTTCCCTACGACAATTTAAGCAGCAAAATATTTTTACTGAATATAAACCAAAGTATAAAATAAATGAGTTTATACTAATATAAATAAATGATTGGTTAAAATCAATTAATGTGAAAGAAAAGATGAATTTCCCATGCAGAAGAATTCCAAATAAATTATACAGATGCTCTACTCTTGAGGAGGGAAATGTAACTTGTAACTCTTTAAATGTAAGCTGCACATTATAAGCTCCTTCCAGAGTATAAAATGGACAGAAGAGGAAAAGACCAGGTGGTCAGTCACACCACCAGACAGAAATCATGCTGATACTATGTCCCTTTGATACAGAGTTCAAGTCCACCTACCTGAAGGAGAAAAGACCTGGCAATGTGCTCCCGTAAAGATGCTGTTGCTGATATGAAGTGCTGGTGAGTCAATTCTGACCCAGAGCAAGTGGTACAGGGTTTCCGAGAAGCAGTTCTAAAGATTTACAGCCTAGCAAATTCTATGGGGCTGTTGTACTCTGTAACATGGTATTGCTATGGTTTAAAACCAACTTAATAGCACACAGTAACAACTCTCGATATGGTGTGATAAAAATGGTACTTTATCTTTAGTACTTTCTCTAAAAAAACCATAATGTCAATTTAACTCAGGGGTGTCGGGGGAATCACACAAATTCCAATAGAGGGTCATCCTGCAAAATGTATCTGACCAGTACTCCATACAATTGCTAAAGTCATCATAAGTGAGGACAAATCTTTGAAACTATTACATACCCAAGAAAAGTCTAAGAAGATGTAACAACTAGCCATAATGTGGTATTCGAATTGGGATCTTTTATATAAAAAGGGCATGAGGCAAAAACTGAGAAAACAATAAAATATGGACTTCGGTTAATCATAATGTTCAACATTGGTTCAATACTTGTCACAAATGTAGCACAATAATGTAAGATGATAACGATATGGAAACTGTGAGTGGGGGAGATGGGGGTTGTGAGGAATATAACTATGTACTTATCTGCTCAATTTTCCAGTTACTTTTAAAAAATTATAAATACACCAATGTTCACTGTACCACTACTCACAATAGTTAAGACAGAAATAATGTAATGTTAATGACTACTGTTCAACCATAAAAGGAGTGAGATTCTGACTCTTGCTATATAACATGTATTAACATTGATAATATTATGCTGAGTGAAATAAGTCAGTCACAAAAGAACTAATGTTGCAAAATCCCACTTACATGACATATCTAGAATAAGGAAATGCCAAAGTTCAATCATGGTTACCAGGGACAGAGGAACAGTGGGGGTTACTGCTTAAGAAACACTGAGTATCTATTAAGGGTGATGATAAAAACTGGAAATGGATAGTGGTAACGGTTGCACAGCACTGTGAATGAAATTAATGTCACTGAATTATACACATAAAGTGGTGAAAAAACCAAGTTACATATATATTATCTAATTTTTAGAAAAGCCTATTAATAAACAAATTTCATCTAGGGAAGAAGGGATTGACTGGAAAGACAAGAAGCAACTTTCTGAGGTAAAGAAAATTCCTCTTTGAATTATGGTATGGATTGCACAGGTATATACATTTATCAAAATTCACCAAACTACAGAATTTGTGTATTTTGTGTGAACCAATGGCGCTACAGGGTAAGTACTGGGTAGATAGTTTAAACCCAGCACTCCCCAGCTACTCCTCAGAAGCCCTATACTGAGTGAGACTAACTCAGTGGCACTTAGCAATAACAACAAGCCTCAATGTTTAAAGAACTAAAACTAATAAAAAGGTAGCAGAGAGCAAAAACGATATATATTTTATCACCTGTGCCCAATATTAGGAATCCTGGTGTGGCACTGTAGGATAAGCACTGGACTACTAACCACAAGATCAGTGGTTCAAACCCTATACAGAGTGGCCATTAGTTGAAACCAACTCAATGGCACTTAACGACAACAAATGTCCAATATTGTTTTGGAAATACTTGTTTTAAATTCGGCTGAGCATAAATTGACCAAACATTTAACTCCTCCAAAATAATATTGATTTTTACAGGCAAAATTAAAATGTGAACATCAAGTAATATTTATTGGATAAAATAAAGTATCTGAATATACTTAGATAATGATTTAATATAAGAGATTCATTCTCCTATCTGTGAGAGCCCAATACTCAGTAAAATAAAGCCTTCTTTCAAATGAAGGATCTCAGAAAATCTACCTATTGACCTTCCATCAATTTCACCACATCCAGAAACCTCAAGTATGAGAGAGACAGCACAGAAACACCAAAAGTCCACTCCTACTACAGGCAGTCCCAAAGGGAGAAATGAGATCCATTCCTGTCTTTTAAGAATTTGTAAGTAGTCAGACTAGGTGCTTCTGGGTCTTACTTCTTGTTGTTAAGTGCTGTCAAGTCAATTCCTACTCATAGCCACTGTATAGGGTTTCCAAGGAAGGACTAGTGGATTTTAGTAGACCTAGTGGCACTGTGGGTTAGGTGTTAGGCTGCTAACCACAAGGTCAGTTCAAATCCAACAACTACTCTGAGGGAGAAAATTGAGGCTGTCTGTTCCCCATTAAGATTTACAGTCTCAGACACCCTATACAGGGCCACTATGAGTCAGAATCACTTGATGGCCATGGGTTTTGGGGGTTTTAGTGCAAGAAAAGGCTCAAAGACTTTTTATATGGCTAAAAGACTACATGAGCAGCAAGTGAAGGTTATTCTGATGAATTTTTTTGCAAGCAGGGGTTGGATTCCTGGTGTGGTGCTGTAAGATAAGCACAGGACCACAAGGTTGATTTGAACCACAAAGTCGGTGGTTCAAATTCACCAGTCACTGCTTGGAACTCCTATACTGCTCAGAATTGACTCAAGGGCACTTAACAACAACAAGGAGTTGGTTGAATCTTGATTTCAAAGTGAAGGCAACAAGGAGTTGGTTGAAGTGATGGCAAATTTACATAACATTAAAGAAGTTGTCTCTGAGTTGGAGACATTTGTAACCCAGGGACTTCTGTAATTCAGGGACATATAATCATGTTAAAGTATAAAGTAAATTATTTCAGGTTTCAATTCTGCAGTATAATACTTACCAATATAATTTACACAGTCAGATAAACTTCTGGAAGCAAATGGCCCTTCATATACAGTCTTACTTCTATCAAACAAATAAACCATATAGCTATCACAGCCTCTCTGAAAAAGATACAAACAATTAAAATTCTACACAAAGACCCTTGAAAAGTTTAGGTTCTCCAAAGGTTTAAACACCAGATTTCCTATTCTAAAGTACAAATAAACAGATTTATAACCTTGGAAACCCTATGAAGCAGTTCTACTCTGTCCTATAGGATTACTATCAGTTGGAATTAATTGGAGGCAACAGGCTTTAAGTACAAGAAGGAAAAGACAGGAGGAACACAGAACTTGTACCATTAGAAACTCATACAAAGTTCAAAACATCAAATGTTTCATTTCTATCTTGTTAATCTTGCAAAGCAATATGAAAGTAATGAGTAGGATAAAACTAAGAGAATTACAGGATATGCACTACCCCTCAAAGGATCCCAAGCATGTATCCAAAAAATGCACGGTATGCAATCTCTTCATGCAAACAGAGTTCTTATACTCTTAAGTATATCAGAATTTGCTTACAACTCCATCTAGAACACACTGAGAGGCTGGCTTCCGAGGGTCTAGAGAAATTCCCGTCTCTGAAAGCAACTCTTGAGAACCAGTATTTATTCCAGTTTCACGCTCAATACGAGACTGTAGTGAATGGAGACTTTCATCAGGAGGCAATAAAAAAGAAATTATCTTTGCAGAAGTCATATTTAGGATGTGTACTATCTGTATAATAAGAAAAAAGATAAAAGGATTATCAGCGATCACCTGCTGCAATGAAAGGTGCAGTGCTAAACTGAAAGGGGAGTATGAATAAAAGCCATAACTCTGCACTAAATAGGGTTCAACATTCAGGCTGCTAACCTCAAGGTCAGCAATTTGATACTACCAGCCATTCCGCAGGAGAAAGATGAGGCTTTCTGCTCCTGTAAAGATTTACAGCCTCGGAAACCCTATTACAGGGCTGCTATGAGTTGGAACCGACTCCATGGCACACCACCACCACCACCACCACCACCACCACCGTTCTCCAGAGGAAGCACTCCTTTTATAATTACACAATGAAAACTAAGGAGCAGAGTTTAATTTCTACTATAACATGGATTAATTTTAACACATAAAACTAAATCAATACTAAAAATTCTAATTCTAAAAAGCAGAAATATAGTCTGAGAAACATATCCACTTATGAAGTATCTAATAAATATGTAACATTTTGCAAAATATCCCCATCAATTATTCTTTCAACTTCTATTTTGGAATGAGGGAGAAACCAGGGCTCTAAAAAGTTAAATAACTTGTTTGGGATCACACAGCAGAAAGCTGGTAGAGCTTGGCTCTGAAGTCTTTATCTGTCTGACTGTCTGTCCACTGCTTCAAGAAATAATCTTCTAATAGAAGAGCTAGGTCTCATTTTGCCTCAATGTTATCATCATTTTTCAAACAACCACTTCCCAGTGCAGTTAAGTCATCTGCCAAAAGCCCAAAGTTAGATAAGAAAACTACCTCATTCCCCTCACCTAAAGCCCAATAAAGGCACTCTGATAACACAGTGCTTACAAGTCGGACTGCCAACCTCAAGGTCAGCAGTTCATAACTACCAGTGTGGTTCCACAGGAGAAAGATGAGGCTTTTTGCTCCCATAAAGATTTACAGCCTCGGAAACCCTGTGCAGGGTCGCTATGAATCGGAACCAACTCCATGGCACACCATCACTACCACCAAAGCCCAGTAAAGGTAGTCTGACACAAATTAAATGGGTGTGAAATTGAGTCAGGTGAGGCTCTATCCAGGTAAGGAAGGGTAGTCACAAAGTTGAAGGGCAATCTTTTAAACACAACGTGATTTTAAACTCTCTTCCTTCCTCTATCCTTGGATAAAACATGCAAATTAATAGCTCAGTTTCACCATACCTTACACTGTATATGTAAACAATTAAAACTATCTCTGTTCAAATGCTTACAGAAGTAAGAGGATTAGTGCAAAGCCACTAGTATTTTCTTATAAATTCTGAGGTAGATGCTCAAATAAGTGGTGTTACAGAAATATCAAATTGTATTGCTAAAGTGAAATTAATCTTTTCATGTAATTTCCAAATGTCATAACAGGATTGCCAATATTTCTATTAGTAAACTATAAGAGGCTTTCCTTTAATACATAATAATAACCTTTTATAATTTAAAGAGTGAGAAGGACAGGGAAGGGAATCTTCAAAACTAACATGGACATGCAACACAAGTCCACCTCTGAGAGTTTCCATGCCGTAACAGCCTAGACAGATGTCACAAACTGACAGCTACCACTGATAGACACTTACATGAAATAAAAGCTTAACGGCAAAAATTTAAGACAAAACTCTTGCAGTAATTTACTTTACATAGCAGGATTGATGCCAAGCTAGGGCAAGGGATCAAGAAATCCTACTCACAAGAGGCGAGTTGAAAGGAACTAAAAGGGAGAGGAAATACATCTTAAACGCACCCGTATGTTCATTCAGTATTTAGACAGGAGAATAAAAAGGCATCAGAAGATGACATGGGCAGTTCATGTTGCATGGAAAGGGAAGTACATAGGCATAAAAGCCAGGTAAAAGCCTTCCTCACCAAACCAAGTCTAATATGATTAGACCTACAAGAATGAGGTGACAAAGGAAACTCTAAATGATGCTTCAAAGTAATAATCAACAAAGACCACTTAGAAGCAGAGTGAAGAAGGCTTACTAAAGAAATAAAAAACAAAACCTCTATATATTTTTTTTTCCTTAAAGATTATTAAAATATATTTATGCTAATTTTCAAAATAAACTTCAACTTCAATGTAGGTCTCCCAAAATAAACATTATTAAAACTAACCTTCAAATTCAGAATGTGATCCATTAATACAAAGCATCTTGGCTGCTTCGAAACAAGATCAATAGGTCCTCCTCTCTGATGAGGATCCCAATTCAGCATCAACTGTAGCCAGTTTTCCATGAGCTCTACTATTAAACTAAAGAATGCATAAAAATATGGTGGAAATCAAATTTAGATCTTCTAATTTTCCTTTAGTGTCATTAAAAAAAGGTACCAGCAATCCCTGGGTTAAGAATCTCTGACTTACAGACAACAACAACTTGCCCTTAATCAGATTCTGAACTGAGTCTGTCATAGCTGACTAAGTAAAACAGGAACAGACCAGGATTTTTATAATTTGAGTGATTCATCACAGTAACTGGAACAAGAAAAATTATGGGTCACAGCCCTTGAATCAGAGACTCAGAAGAGGTGTAGTGAGAATGAATTACTGACAAGAATGTGAAGAGCCACATACATTCAAAGCAGAGCAGTCGACAAATACCTTTGAAACCCTGCTTAAATGGTACATAAATTTACCGTCAGTTTCAATCAACTGAACTAATTCCTAGTTGCAATAATTCTTTATCACAATAATCTTCAAATGCTGCACATGCAGATTTTAAAAGAATCAAAAAAGCTTCAAAGGCTTCATTCAAGTTTTTTTTTTTTTTTGCACTAAAGTAAGGCTATCAACCATATGCACCTGTTCTGACTGACCTAAAATTCTTAAAGACATTGTTAGGAAAAGATCTCATTTATAACCCAAGAACTGCTTGTAATTTTACTGATTGTCCATTTTCTTTCCTATTACCTGTCTGTACCATTTTATATCTTGTTTTCAAATAGTTCATGGAAAAATAGGGGATAAGCTTTCTCCCTAAAAAAAACCAACAAAAATCGATATTTAAGTTAGTTTATGACAACACCAAGGAGTCCGTTTCCATCCTCCAAGGAACTCACCCAGTTAATTCATTTCTCTGAAAAATCTTTAGCACACAAGACAATCAGTTGAATGGCAGAAGCCCTTTGTTTCCACTAGACCACTAGATGTCTGCTGACCAATACAGCAGTCACAATATTTACATTTACATTTAAAGTAATTAAGAGTAAACAAAATTTAAAATTCAGTTCTTAGTTACATTAGCTACTTTTCACATGCTCATGTGGCTATCACAGATAAAGAACATTCTCATCGTCTAAGAAAGTTTTCCTGGCTAATGTTACTTGAGGAAGACAACTACTCTGTTGTTCTCTTACAAGCCTGCAGAAGGAGGCAGAATACTTCAACTAATACTTACCTACAAAGGCTATTTGGTTGAGGTAAATGGCTACTGAACCGGACTTCTCCTGTCATCTCTTCAGATGCAAATATACACTTTGGATCCTTCTTCTTAATCTTTTCATGCCTATAAAACAATAGCTACCTCAGTTGACAATCTGATTCTGTAAAACAATTAAGATTTCTTACCATTTAAATTTATTCAATTTTAGGTTTAGAAACACAACTATACCTAGCTAGAGAGAAAAAGAAAAAATGTCATTCCCATTAAGCATGGCAAATTTCTTTTCCATTTCTTACCAGGTAAATGGCTGCAGATGATGTAAAAAAGGCCTATATCCAGCAATACATTCAAACACCATGGTACCAAAGCTCCAATAATCAACAGTGGCTGTATAAGGCTTATTCTCAAAAAGCTCTGGGGCCTTAAAAAGAGAAAATGCTTTAAGCACCAATACCATATTTAAAAAGACTATTTTTCGCTACTACATTCATTACCATCAAAATAAGAATGAGAATCTTACACACTTAAATTCAAAGAAACAACACAATATGTGTCTTACCAGATATTGCAGCGTTCCTACAAAAGATGTACATAAACTTCCTTGATCAACATCTTTGGCATATCCCAGATCAATTATCTTATGCAATATCTGCAATATAATAAGGCAACAAACAATTTAAAAGGTTGAAAAATCTATAAAGAGGATGTTGGCAAAGAACTTGGGCTCTGGAATAACAAACATGTTTCAATCATGAGCACCACCGGTTACAGGTCATGTGACCTTGATCAAGTTACTTAATCGGTTTCCTATATAATGGAATTACTAACAGTCCCAACTTCACAGGATTATTAGTAGGGTTCAGTGAAATAGTGAAGGTGAACAACACAGTGCTGGCACACAGTACGAATTAAATGTAGACTGGCTATCAATTTTTAGTTTGATATAGTTAGGATAAGCTTCACCTATTAAACTGGAACACAGAATGGTAACTTCCAAACTTGAAGAACCATCACAAAGTGGATCAAATGTAAATAAGCATCTACCTAACTTCACTTCAAGAATATACTGAAGTTTCTGGAAAAAAATGGCGGATCGGGTGGAAGTGTAGTGACGAGCTCTACCAAGAATAACACAGAATACAGGACCAGGAAGGCTCAGGGAATGGTCCCAGTACTCTGAACCACATATAAAGGAATATTTAGAAGGTTGGAAGACTTACAGCTGGGGAGTTTGTGGCAGAAGCAAGAAATCCATTGCTTCCTGGTTCAGGACGCTCAGCTGCTCCAGGAGCCGCCATTTTGTGTGGGGCCAAGCGGGGAAAGGATCAGAGCAGCCATGGACGCCTGACAGAACCGCAGAGACAGAGTCTAGGAGCGGAGGTCCCTAGGACCATCAAGGGAGAAGAGCAGAGAGCGGGACCCTACCCAGAGAAGCAGTGATGCCTGAAATGAAGCCAGAGATGATGACGTGGAGCGATGGAGCAGCTGGAGACTTTAGATCCAGAGAGGGAGAGCGACTGTGTGCTGAAGACCTGGTGGGTACGGGGGAAGGATTGCATGGAGGGGATTGTAACCATGGCAATGAGACGATATACGATAGAATGAATGTAAAACTAATGTTCTCCCATGTAAACTATCACATAATTCACAATAAAACATTTAAGAAAAAAAGAATATACTGAAATCTTTGGATGCAAAAGAAAGCAGAGATATCTATGCCAAAAACAACAAAGGTTCCTAAGAGAAGATGCATCACCAAAAATCCCATGGCCTCCAAGTGTTACCATCTTCATCAATTAATTAAGTTAAAAGTTAAGACTATTGGCTTTAAGTCTTTATTGAAATGCAACTTGTAAGCTTGAAGCAAGAAAAGTGCTCAAATTATTCTGATAAAAATAAACATTTCAGGAGTTAATTCATACTTTCTAGTTTTTTTTCAAGATGACTTCCTTATGAATCCGAGAAATCAAGGTTTTGAATTTTAATTAAATTTAAGAGCCAGTGTTTGCAGGAAAGAAAATGGTATTTTTAAAAATGCACGTACATTTTTTTTTCTTCTTAAAGCTGCCTCACAATGTGTGTGTGTGTGTGTGTGTGTGTGTGTGTGTGTGTGTGTGTTTGGATGTATTTCTTAAGAATAAACTAATGATGGCTAACAATTTACTCACTACCTACTGTCTGTGCTACATACCATTCTGGAAAAAACAAGTAAACAAGACAAGTGCAGTTCCTTCTCTAAAGGAACTTTACCAGGAGAGACAGAGACAAGACACCTAAACTCACAAATACAGTTCAATGTGGTCAAGGACAGGACAGAAAACGGTTACAAGGCTATGAGTACACAGCAATGGCACCAACGGAAAAGACTGACCACACCAGGATGATTGTGATCAACAGGGAAGGAACATTTCTTTAGGGTTCACCTACCTTCCCACCAACATCCTGAAGAACTATGTTTTCAGGTTTTAGGTCACGATGTATAATTTTGTTTTCATGTAAATAACGAATCCCAGACCCTAAATAAAGTTTAAAACATGTTTACAGGCAATAGAAAATACTGAGTTAAAAAAAAAAATTAATTTCACATTTTGTACAGATCTGCTCTGACACACAAATTTATAAGGACCACCCCTCTAACTAAATGACTAATAATAATGTGAGATGACAGGAATACCAATTTTCTGGTAATATTAATACTTCAGAATTACAATATACACTTCATTTAACTTTGAGAATTAACATTAAAACATACAACTAAGAAAATCCCTATATTTACCACTATAGACTTTTCCTCCCATGTAAATCGCCCTTTTCAACTAGACCTTGGCCCAAAATGACCTAGAAAAGCAGCATAATCACATCATGTAAGGAAACAAAGTTTTGGCTTTTAAACTTCCACAAGGCCCTACCCAAACCAAATCCATTACTGTCAAATCAATTCTAACTCACTGTTAAGTGCCGAAGAGTCAGTTTTGACTCAAAGCGACCCTGTATAAGGTTTCTAAGGCTTTGAATCTTCACAGGGGCAGAAAGTCTCATCTTTATCCTGTGGAGCTTGAACTGATAACCTGTGGTTCGCAGTCCAGTGCTTATCATTTGGAGCCACCACGGTCCCAAAGCAACCCTATAGGACAAGGTAAAATACTCCATAGGGTTTCCAAAGTTGCTAATTTTTATAGAAGCAGACTACATCTTTCACCTGTAGAACAGGTGATCTTTGAATTGTTCATGTTTTGGTTTGCAGCCAAGCACTTTAACCATAGCACCACCAGGGGCCAAGGTATGCCTATTTGGGGGACTATTTCAGAAGCAACTCTAATTAGAAATTTCCACTCCAGTAGCTAACTTTAGAACCTATACCCAAAAGAGATACTATTTCACTATAAAGAAAATATTATGTTAATGGAAGGGGGGAGGAGTGACACACAGAGGAAATGTATGTGTAAAAATTAATTAGATCATTTCACACCATTTTTGTGTCAGCAACTGGAAAATCTAATTGCCAAATAAAGATGCCTAGCCCAAATCAAATTTTTCAAATCTAAAGTATGATTTGCATTAATATTAATATGTTTTCCTGATTTCTTATGTTGTTGTTGTTGTGAAGTGCCGTCGAGTCGGTTCCGACCCATAGATTTCTTATAGCTGTTTAAAAATAAATTTACGCTTTGGGTAGCATACCAAGAATTCTCCTTAATCCCCAAATAGTATGCAGAACCTTCTATAGACCAAAAGGGCATTACATCACAATGGTAATCTCATATGGGTTACATACCTATATCACTAAGTAAAGAAAGTATCTGGCTTTCTTTAAGTCCACAGCAATTTTCCGGTTTGTTAAGTAGCTAAAGAAAAAACCAAGCAGTTTAAAAATGTGTACTATCAATATTACTAAACAACAATAGTTATAGAAGTCAATGCCAATATGCCAATAAAGTATTCAAATGAGAGAATAAGTCATAATAAAAGAAAACAAAAGAGAGAGGAAATGACCAAATCCATCCTGAATACATACAAATCCATTAATCTTGACAAGTCTCATAACAGTACAGATAAACAGAGGAAACTGAACTTGAAAAAGATCTCACAGATATAGATAAAAATAGTCATATGGGAAGATTCAAAATGAAATGTGAAGAAATATACAGAAATATTTTTTATGAACACCTTAAAACAAACACGGACATTTTGATCTCAAGAGTTTCAACACAGTCCTTTCTTGCAAATAAATAAGCAAAAAATATATGCTCTAAAATCAGGGATGGGCAAACTTTTTCTGTAAAATACCAAATAGAAAATACTTCTGGTTTTGCAGGCCATAACAAGGAGCTCTGGTAGCATAGTGGTTACAAATTGGGCTGCGAACCACAAGGTCAGC